TATCAATAGTTAGTAGTGTTTAAATAGTGTATATAGTATATAAGTAAATAGTGTGTAAATGATAAATAGTTTATAAATAGTGTATAAGTTTAAATAGTGTATAAATAGATAAGTATAAAAATAGTGTATAAATAGATAGTTTATAAATGAAAAATAGTGTATAAATAGTAAAGAAATAGATATGGGGCTGCAGGGAAGGAAAATCCAGACTACGTTTTTCTATTTTTCCATTCACTTAAGTTTTTTTAAATGAATGACTTTTTTTTAATTAGAAAAATCATGTAAATGCATGACCATTTTTAACTTTGAAATAAACATTTGAAATTCATATAGTTCCTTCCAGATGTGGCATGTTTTTTTTCATAGGCAGATTGGCATGGCAGTCTGTGCAGTTTGGGGGTGGGTGGGAGAGGTGATGATCATGCCTTAGCATTGGTATTCCTTGCTTGGGTGCTTTTCGGGAATGATGAGATTACTGGAAGACAACAACAGGGTGGATTGGTATGGGAGGTCCAATGCTTGTGCAATGCTTGTGTTGCCCCCAATCCCAGTATACAGGGATCCTGGCTAGCCAGACTTCTGAGGGGGCAGCACCTTTTGGTAGCTTTGCAAGAAAGACTGCCCTCCCCCACCCACACACACAGAGTAACCCATCCCAAACCCAACAAGAAAAAGCCTCAATACTGTGCCAGGGGAGAGTCAGAGAGAAGGTTTAACATTTGAAAGAGAGCAATTAGCAACTTCTCAGGCTATCTTAAGCCTATTCTTGTGTTTTGTTTTTTGCATCACCTCTACCACACCTTCCCTCCACCCCCATCCCAGTGGCTCCCTGGCCGGGTGGGTGGGGAGGGGCAACTCGTCCTGCTGTCCTTGCACCGCTGGCCAAGTCCCCTGTGCCCATACCTGCATGCAGGCCTGCTGGGAAGTGTGGTGATTGCTGGGCAAGGGCTGGAGTAGGGGGCTCAGGATCCCTACTGGGTGGGAGGCAGCTGTCCTGGGCATGGGGATCCCCATGACCCAAGAAATTTTAATCCACCTCTACACCCCCCCCCCCCCCCCACCCCGTTTCCCCCCCCCCCCCCCCCCCCCCCCCCCCAATCTGCGATGCTGATGTTACTCGGCTTGGGCATTTGTCCTTGTCTGCTGTTGCACTGAAGGATACAAAAGACAGGAAGCAGATCATTCATTCTCTTTTACATAAAAATCCTTTAATCTGTTATTCACCCTTTTATATTTTTTCATTAGTAAACACATGAGTGAGTTACATTTGTAGAAATCAGAGCACAGAAGTATTCACAGTTCCATCTAGGGCCCCCCTGCTGCAGGACATTTGGCAGACAGGGAACCCCAACCCAATTTCGGCAGTGGTGCCCCATAGTTTGTGGCAAGCACCCCTGCAGGGCAGAGACAATTAATGGAGGGGATTTTTAATGAGAAAAAAACATGTAAGTGGAGCACCATTTTAATGTTGAAATACAGTTTAGAAATTCATACAGTTCCTGAATTGATGTCTTTTCTTTCATAGGCAGACTGGTGGGTGGGTGGCAGGGGAGGAGGGAAAGTGGCACTCATCCCGCTGTCCTGTGATTATTTCTAATGATTACTATGAAAGAGGGCAAACCCCCACCCACCAGATGCTGAGACTGACAAGGCAAGTGACCCCATAGTTTGTTCTACATTGGCATTTGCGTAACTTATTAGCTTTTAGTCACAACTAGTGTGGAATAGTTATAGTATGTTAACTAGAGCAACAAAGAATTATTTTTTGTCATTCAAAAATTAAAATTTCTGCAGGTCAAGTTCTCAATGTTTGTGATCTGTAATAGTCAGTTTTTTACTTTTGAGAGGCAGCTGTATTCTTCTGAAGTGTTTTGTGAAGTGTTGCATTGTATTTTTCTGTGTTTCTGCCTTTGTGTTTTGTGAAACTAGTTGGTTGATTTTCACTAGTACCTTGACAGTGGCAACATTACTCCTTGAATCTTTATATTTGCATCTTTGTCTTTGCGTTATTGTGTTTGTGTTTTTTGCATTTTTGTGCTTGTGTTTTTTATGCATTTATTTTCATGCTTTCTGTGTTTGTGTTTGCAATTTTTCCTTGCTTGTGTTAGTGTGACTGTATGCTTTGTGAATACTTATTTATAGCAATAGTCGCTTCATCAGAATGTATGGGAAATGTACTCCTTATACAGAAAGAAAAAAATGGAGGACCAAGCCAATACCTGCTCAACCCTCATGCACAGTTTGGTGTACTACCCCTGCAATAGCGGTGGTGCACATACCACCATCATTATCTCGTCTCTTATGTGCTCCCCCCCAGCCCCTGTGCCCAGCCCCCTGCTCGAAACTGTGCAGCACAGCAGCAGCAAATAGCAGCCTTCACCCACCACCACAGGTGCTAAGACCCACCAGGCAGTAGGCAGGAGGGAGGGCCTTCACCCACCACCCTGGGTGCTAAGATCCACCAGGCAGAGGGGAAGAGGGAGGGCTTTTGACCACCACTCCAGGTGTTAAGAGCCACCAGACAATAGGCAAGAGGGAGGGGCTTTGCACACCACCCTGGGTACTAAGACCCATGAAGCAGTAGGCAAGAGGGAGGGCAGTCACCCACCACCCTGGGTGTTGAGACCCACTGGGCTATTTAATATTTGGCATAAACATGGAGAACAGAAGTCAAGATTAAATGCTTATTTATAGCAACAGTTGCTTGATCAGAATGTCTGAAAAGGTAGGACCTCAACTAGAAAAAGGCACTCAGACCCACCAGACAGTAGGAACAAGGGCCTTTTCCCACCATCCCAAGTGCTAAGACCCACCAGGTGATTACTCTGATTATTTCTGATTAGCTATAGTATTTGAACTTGAGCAAGCTGACCCTTGACGGTTACCAGAGGTGGTTGCACTCCACAAGCTACAAAACAGTGCAGTCATTACTATGACATGGTGACTAGAGTATTCTTATTATAATTTATGGTTGTTACTTATTATTATTAATGTAATAATTACTGTAGACAGACTTACTTGGGCTCATTGTCCTCACAAGATACAAAATAGCACAATCATTAGGCAATAGGCATCCACCAAGCAGGCATGGGCTTGCACTGCAGATCTTGGGGCAGGCACCAAAGGAAAGCAAACAGCAAGGGAGGGAGGCTGACAAAGGCAGACACCTGAGATATTATTATTATTATTATTATTATTGGTTTTGATTACCATTAAGAAAAGACATTATCCCAATACCAATGCTTCATTCTAATTCTCTTGCTGTATCTACTGGACAAAATGAATGCCCAACAGTCAGCTAATTGTTGCCCAGCACCCACCCATGACTTTGTGTTCTTTTGTATCTTGAGAGTACACGGAGCTCAAGTAGCAAAATAGAAGCAGGCATCTGGATGTTTTGTACCAGTAGAGTGACCGGGGTCAGGGGCGGAGTTGCTGATGTCACGCACCACGTGACCGGGGTCAGGGGCGGAGTTGCTGATGTCACGCACCACGTGACCGGGGTCAGGAGGTGTGGTTGGTGACATCACACACCATAAAAGAGGGAAGGGGGCGGAGCGAAGGGGGCGGGACTTCTAGTCCCGCCCACCTGTCACATTTGCATTGAAGGACGGAGAGCCATATACTACTTGCATGTACATGCCATGAGATTTGCCCTTTCAGGCACTGCAACTGCCTTTCTGTTTGCACGAGCAGGATTTCCTACCATTTAAAAAGTGTTGTTGGTGCATTAAAGTAAAACTGCTGAGACGTAGTTTATTTTGGGTTGCTGCCAATTACTTCATCACATCTATGGACTCACGTGAAAACACAAAGGCCCTCAAAGACTTATAATTATGTTCTTTTTCCACCAGGTGGTGCTGTGCTATTTCTGTAGTTCAGGCCTTTGTCCACTAGGTGCTGCTTTTGATTGCAGCTGTTATTTTATTTCTTTATTTTTTGGCCCCTGCTCCCTCCCCCTGCTCCTATGGCTGAATGCAGGCAGGGCACGGTACAGGAGGCACCTCATCCCTCTGTCCTGTACCAGAGCAGTAGTTAGTACTTATACACAATGAAAAAAATGGAGGAACAACCCAATACATTCCCAATGCACACTGTGGTAGTGTGGTAGCACTGTGGACCCTGGTAGTGGTCATGCCCATACCACCACCCCCACCAGCAGACCTGTATGTGCTTCCCCTCCACCCCTGGGCCCAGCACAGTGTTCTAAACTGTGGAGCACAGAAGCAACAGCACCAAAATAGTAAGTTTGCAACTGAGGGAGTGTGGCAGCTCTTCTTAACACTTCACTTTTTCAGGGGTAACTTTCCTATTTCTTATAATTGCCATTGCCATTCCAGAAACACAATGAATAGTGCAGGTGCGCGCTGCATGCCAGAACGCCCCCCAGATATGCAGCCTCCTGGGTGATATATAGGTAATGGCAGAAATATCCTACCTCTATAGCATCTATAGTGGGGAGGTGAAGAGGGTAGTGTTTGGACTGTAGGCCAAAACCCATCCTCTTCTGCCTTCCCCTGCAGAAGACTTTCCAGATCAGAAATTAAAAAGAATAAATAAATGAAAGAAGGAATGCATAACAACAGTACAAGAAATAGAAGAACAGAGTAGATAATAAGAAAGTAGAATAGAAATAGATATAGGTAGCCATAGTATCAATAGTTAGTAGTGTTTAAATAGTGTATATAGTATATAAGTAAATAGTGTGTAAATGATAAATAGTTTATAAATAGTGTATAAGTTTAAATAGTGTATAAATAGATAAGTATAAAAATAGTGTATAAATAGATAGTTTATAAATGAAAAATAGTGTATAAATAGTAAAGAAATAGATATGGGGCTGCAGAGAAGGAAAATCCAGACTACGTTTTTCTATTTTTCCATTCACTTAAGTTTTTTTAAATGAATGACTTTTTTTTAATTAGAAAAATCATGTAAATGCATGACCATTTTTAACTTTGAAATAAACATTTGAAATTCATATAGTTCCTTCCAGATGTGGCATGTTTTTTTTCATAGGCAGATTGGCATGGCAGTCTGTGCAGTTTGGGGGTGGGTGGGAGAGGTGATGATCATGCCTTAGCATTGGTATTCCTTGCTTGGGTGCTTTTCGGGAATGATGAGATTACTGGAAGACAACAACAGGGTGGATTGGTATGGGAGGTCCAATGCTTGTGCAATGCTTGTGTTGCCCCCAATCCCAGTATACAGGGATCCTGGCTAGCCAGACTTCTGAGGGGGCAGCACCTTTTGGTAGCTTTGCAAGAAAGACTGCCCTCCCCCACCCACACACACAGAGTAACCCATCCCAAACCCAACAAGAAAAAGCCTCAATACTGTGCCAGGGGAGAGTCAGAGAGAAGGTTTAACATTTGAAAGAGAGCAATTAGCAACTTCTCAGGCTATCTTAAGCCTATTCTTGTGTTTTGTTTTTTGCATCACCTCTACCACACCTTCCCTCCACCCCCATCCCAGTGGCTCCCTGGCCGGGTGGGTGGGGAGGGGCAACTCGTCCTGCTGTCCTTGCACCGCTGGCCAAGTCCCCTGTGCCCATACCTGCATGCAGGCCTGCTGGGAAGTGTGGTGATTGCTGGGCAAGGGCTGGAGTAGGGGGCTCAGGATCCCTACTGGGTGGGAGGCAGCTGTCCTGGGCATGGGGATCCCCATGACCCAAGAAATTTTAATCCACCTCTACCCCCCAATCTGCGATGCTGATGTTACTCGGCTTGGGCATTTGTCCTTGTCTGCTGTTGCACTGAAGGATACAAAAGACAGGAAGCAGATCATTCATTCTCTTTTACATAAAAATCCTTTAATCTGTTATTCACCCTTTTATATTTTTTCATTAGTAAACACATGAGTGAGTTACATTTGTAGAAATCAGAGCACAGAAGTATTCACAGTTCCATCTAGGGCCCCCCTGCTGCAGGACATTTGGCAGACAGGGAACCCCAACCCAATTTCGGCAGTGGTGCCCCATAGTTTGTGGCAAGCACCCCTGCAGGGCAGAGACAATTAATGGAGGGGATTTTTAATGAGAAAAAAACATGTAAGTGGAGCACCATTTTAATGTTGAAATACAGTTTAGAAATTCATACAGTTCCTGAATTGATGTCTTTTCTTTCATAGGCAGACTGGTGGGTGGGTGGCAGGGGAGGAGGGAAAGTGGCACTCATCCCGCTGTCCTGTGATTATTTCTAATGATTACTATGAAAGAGGGCAAACCCCCACCCACCAGATGCTGAGACTGACAAGGCAAGTGACCCCATAGTTTGTTCTACATTGGCATTTGCGTAACTTATTAGCTTTTAGTCACAACTAGTGTGGAATAGTTATAGTATGTTAACTAGAGCAACAAAGAATTATTTTTTGTCATTCAAAAATTAAAATTTCTGCAGGTCAAGTTCTCAATGTTTGTGATCTGTAATAGTCAGTTTTTTACTTTTGAGAGGCAGCTGTATTCTTCTGAAGTGTTTTGTGAAGTGTTGCATTGTATTTTTCTGTGTTTCTGCCTTTGTGTTTTGTGAAACTAGTTGGTTGATTTTCACTAGTACCTTGACAGTGGCAACATTACTCCTTGAATCTTTATATTTGCATCTTTGTCTTTGCGTTATTGTGTTTGTGTTTTTTGCATTTTTGTGCTTGTGTTTTTTATGCATTTATTTTCATGCTTTCTGTGTTTGTGTTTGCAATTTTTCCTTGCTTGTGTTAGTGTGACTGTATGCTTTGTGAATACTTATTTATAGCAATAGTCGCTTCATCAGAATGTATGGGAAATGTACTCCTTATACAGAAAGAAAAAAATGGAGGACCAAGCCAATACCTGCTCAACCCTCATGCACAGTTTGGTGTACTACCCCTGCAATAGCGGTGGTGCACATACCACCATCATTATCTCGTCTCTTATGTGCTCCCCCCCAGCCCCTGTGCCCAGCCCCCTGCTCGAAACTGTGCAGCACAGCAGCAGCAAATAGCAGCCTTCACCCACCACCACAGGTGCTAAGACCCACCAGGCAGTAGGCAGGAGGGAGGGCCTTCACCCACCACCCTGGGTGCTAAGATCCACCAGGCAGAGGGGAAGAGGGAGGGCTTTTGACCACCACTCCAGGTGTTAAGAGCCACCAGACAATAGGCAAGAGGGAGGGGCTTTGCACACCACCCTGGGTACTAAGACCCATGAAGCAGTAGGCAAGAGGGAGGGCAGTCACCCACCACCCTGGGTGTTGAGACCCACTGGGCTATTTAATATTTGGCATAAACATGGAGAACAGAAGTCAAGATTAAATGCTTATTTATAGCAACAGTTGCTTGATCAGAATGTCTGAAAAGGTAGGACCTCAACTAGAAAAAGGCACTCAGACCCACCAGACAGTAGGAACAAGGGCCTTTTCCCACCATCCCAAGTGCTAAGACCCACCAGGTGATTACTCTGATTATTTCTGATTAGCTATAGTATTTGAACTTGAGCAAGCTGACCCTTGACGGTTACCAGAGGTGGTTGCACTCCACAAGCTACAAAACAGTGCAGTCATTACTATGACATGGTGACTAGAGTATTCTTATTATAATTTATGGTTGTTACTTATTATTATTAATGTAATAATTACTGTAGACAGACTTACTTGGGCTCATTGTCCTCACAAGATACAAAATAGCACAATCATTAGGCAATAGGCATCCACCAAGCAGGCATGGGCTTGCACTGCAGATCTTGGGGCAGGCACCAAAGGAAAGCAAACAGCAAGGGAGGGAGGCTGACAAAGGCAGACACCTGAGATATTATTATTATTATTATTATTATTGGTTTTGATTACCATTAAGAAAAGACATTATCCCAATACCAATGCTTCATTCTAATTCTCTTGCTGTATCTACTGGACAAAATGAATGCCCAACAGTCAGCTAATTGTTGCCCAGCACCCACCCATGACTTTGTGTTCTTTTGTATCTTGAGAGTACACGGAGCTCAAGTAGCAAAATAGAAGCAGGCATCTGGATGTTTTGTACCAGTAGAGTATGCAACAGTCAGATAATGGAGAGTACACAACAGTCATACAACATGGAATACAATGAAGTAAAATTTTTTGGGTATGTTTGATTCCCCCAGGACTTATCTAAAAAAAAACCCAAAAGGAACATTGCATCCAGCATCTTTTAAAAGAGTTAATGAAACATAGTTGAATAAGTAGTTGCTTGGGTTACCTGAACATTTGTAATTTTTCAGCATTTCAAAATCTTGCACAGTGTAGGCCAGGAGGATGAGCAATAGTCATCCCTGGAAGTAGGACATGCACAGCATGCTTCACAGATAGTTCTTACCCTGACCAGAGACAAAAGCATTCTAATTATTGATAAATACTAGTATATTAATATTAAAACAAAATACAAATTTTTCAGGGGTATACATTGTAGCTGTGTTGGTCTAAGGACATAGGCAGACAAGGTTCTTTGGGTGAATCTGATATCTTTTATTAGATCAACTTAAATAGTTGGAAAAATTTTTTAGCAAGCTTTCAGGCTGGAGAAAGCTCTGCAGTTGGTGTGTGCTCTTCCTGGATGGAATGAATAGTAAAAAAGCCAGCGGCTGGGCTGGTATGCATGCAAGATAGGCAGTCAGTGAAGATGTTAATTGAGGAGTCAGTGGGTGAGAGACAGGCTGGTTGGGGGGGAGAAGGCAGATGAATGTAGCAGTTGAATAGTGGAGAGGTACCTGGGGAGTCAGATGTCAGGCAGGTTATAATGCGTCATAAATCCAATGTCTAAATTTAGTCCGTGATTTTTAGTATCCAGGAGGTTGATGAAGTGGAGTTCATAGGCTCGTTTCTGGGAAGTGTTTTGTAAGTTTCCTTTGAGGATCAGGACTGAGAGATTGGAGAGAGAGTGGTTTTCTTGTGAGAAATCTGCCCCAACAGGTAATTGGATATTCCTGTCTTTGATAGATTCCCAGTGTGCATTCATTCTGGTGCACAGTTGTTGTTTGGTCTCTCTTATGTATTTTCCATCAGGGCATTTGGTGCATTGGATGAGATACATTACATTTCTGCAGGTGCAGCTGTAAGATGCAAGGAAGCTGATGGCTCTGTTGTGGGGGGTAGTAATTGTGGGGGGGGGGGGGGAGATGTGTTGGGAGGTTTTGCATTTCTTGTCATGGCATGGTCTGGATCCTTTTAGTGTGTTCTGGGCCTGGGGAAGTTTGCTTCTGGTGATGAGGTTAGTGAGGTTCAGTGCTTGTTTGAAGGCTAGGATGGGTGGAGGATCTGGGAAGATCTCTTTAAGAATAGGGTCTCCTTCTAGTATGGGTTGCAATTGTTTGAGGTTTTTCGGTATGGGTTTGACGGGGGTGATATGTCACAACCAGTGATGTGCGATTCGTGGGAGTTCTGCTTCTGTACTGCAGCAATTTTTCATGTGGTATCCAGGTGGCTCTTTCAAACGTGCAATCAATCTCTCCAGAGGAGCGTCCTTGTTGGGTGAAAGCCTTTTTAAGATTTGTGAGGTGGCAATCCCAGGTGTTCTCAGTGTAAATTTGGTGGTATCTGAGGGCTTGGCTGTATATCACATGTTTCTTGCTGTGTTTAGAGTGATTGCTGCTTCTGTGTAGATATGTATGTTGGTCTGTGGGTTTCTTGTATGACGTGGTCTGTATTTTACCATTCTGGATACTGATCATCATGTCTAAAAAGGAGGTGTTGGTGCTGGAGTATTCAAGAAATTGATAAAGGGATGATGATTGCTGAATTTCTGATGGAACTCAATCACAGATTGCAGGCTTTCAGTCCAAATGATAAAAATGTCATCAATATATCTTAAGTATAGCACGGGTTTAATGGTGCAGTCTTTGAGGAATTCTTCTTCCAGGCGGCTTATAAAAAGGTTGGCATACTGTGGGGCCATTTTGGTGCCCATAGCTGTGCCCATGGGTTACAAATTTAAACCATGGTTTACAAACTTAAAATTATTATTCTGTAACCCGGGTGGCAGCCCAATAGTTGCCACCCCTGCCCAATATCAGGGATGGTGTGGTAAGAGTGGGGCAGGGCTTCCAGCCAGCACCAATTTACTTTCCAGCCGGCCCCTGCTCCCCACAGAGCAGCCCCTGGTCCCAAGAAGCTCTAACATTTAACTGATTTAACTATTTACACTTTATTTACAAAACAAGGATAATAGGAAAGGTTATTTACAAGTGAACTTAAATGGAATAACCAGAATCATAAAACAAACCAGAATGCATTAGTCAACCCTTGACTCAAGAACCACAGGTAGGATAACTGGCAACTTTCAGCCACTGCTGAGATGCTACCACAAGGAAGCAAAGTGCTCACTCCCAGCAGCTCCAACAGGCTTCCCAATAAGCGACAGACTGCAGCAGGTTAAGCTCTTCTGGTCTGATCAAATTGTACCAAAACTCAACCCCCCAAAAGAGGCTGAAGGGTGACCCTCCATGGCAACAAAAAAGGCAAGCAGCAAGCAACATGGCAGGCTCCTGCAGCAATCAGCATGACCCAAGCACAAAGCTCAGGGACTCCATCCAATGACAATCAGCTGCAGAATAAGGGACGGGACTGAGTTCCCTCTGGGGCAGTCAGTGGCACAGGGTCAGCAGCACAGGTAGCTCCCAGGGGTCATTGCTCTAAACCCCTGCTCCAGATGACTGGCCAGGCACCCTACATGCCTCACGGCTCGTCAATCCCGCTCCGAGTGCCGTGCCGGCCTGCGCCCCAAGCTCCTGGGGACCCTCATCCTGCCGCTCTGCTGCTCCTCAGGATCCCATGCCTTGCCTGTTGCTGTTTCACTTCCCCAGGGAAGGTAAGGGGTTTCCTCAACTCACCAACCCAGCTCCCTACTCTGGATAAGGATGCTGCCTGCACTCCTGGTCACTGCTTCTTCTAAGCAGGGGCCAGCGTAGCAATTGGAGTTGAAAACAGGAGGGAAGGAAGGAATTTGGGGAGGGGGTGGGTTGTAACAGACAGAGTATAGGAATTTGTATTGGAAAACCACCATGAAGTGCTTCCTGAGCTGACCTCGAGTACACTATTCACTGGATAGCAAAGCGAGTCTACAAGCTGTGAAGGAAGATGTAGCAAGTTGATGTTTCACCAGCCTGGGGGCAAAACAGGTTGGAGCTGCCCAACAGGGTAGGGGGAGCATGGTGTGGGAAGAAGGGCAGCTCATGTTGCTGCATGGCCGTGGAAGGGGGGGGGGGCGTATGCCCCCCAGAACTGTGCACTGCCACTGTGGGTCTTCATGCTGTGCATTACCCTTCATCTTCCTTCACACACTGAAATCCACCCACACTATTTACTTCAATGTTGAAGTAAACACAACAAAGCACCCCCACCCCACCCCCCCGCAAGGCACAGCCTCATATCAGGTCTCACTTACCAATGTGTAAAGGTGCCAGTTGTGGGAGACATCATAATGTCCTCTTTCAACTCCCACATCACAAAGCAGTTCGCATCATGCACTCAAATGCTGCTCTGCACCCAACTTCAGCCTGCACTAACATTAGCATTACTGTGCCCCCAGGGGCAACACTCCTCTGTTACCAGTTTGCCCGTCATTTTGGGGTGCGCTCATTTATTAGAGGTACTGTGGGAGGGGGGGTTAGCTTTGATAGTCTTGGCCTTCACCTCCTGTGTCTTTTCTGACTCTGGCTTGCCCCGTCTTGATGATTGTAGATGTTATTAGTTGGGAGGTAATATCTACCGCAGTAGGCTACCAGCAAACCCTAACCCCTTTTATATGAGGTCCCGCCCTTTTGTTGCCTCCTGATGCAAGTGATTTTGTGTGACACTTCAAACTACACTCTGTCATAAGTAAGTAACTCCTTTTATTGTCCTTTGAGTGTTGTTACACTCTTAACCATTACAAACCCCCCCCTTTTTTTTTCCCTTTAAGAAATGCCTTTGAAGTATTCTTATCTTCATTGATGCCCTGATCAGATCAGTCCATCTATCTTTCAAAGGTGAATCAGGGATTGCCTTGAAACTTCTGCCCTTAACTTTCAGGTAAGTAAAAAAAAATTTTCTCCTTTTTTTTTTTTTTTTTTTTTTTTGTTTGTCTGCAAGCCTTCACTGGGGATAGTCAACAACTAAAAATCCAAAATCAAAGGTAAGGCATCCTTATATTTTCATTGCACTCCTGTCTCTCCTCTTTCACTGTCTTATTATTTTTTTTCCAGGGGATCTGCTCCTGTCCCCACTTCTCACAGCTTTTCCGCTTCCCTTCCTGGGTGATCCTTCCCTTGCTCGGGATACACTCACTGACTTTCTTCATCCAGCCCTCTCTCCCTCGCTGAACTGATATCCTAGCTTACCCCGTCCCTGTGGTCTTCTCCTCCTTGAGGAAAGCCTGCCCCTTTTTCTCCACTCCTTCCTGCTGCGTGGTTCTCTCCCACGGCTCCTTTATAAGCAGGGAGCAGCTGCTTTTAAAACGCTGCTCTCCTGGCTTGATTGATTTCTCCCCACTGACATCGTCCCATGCCAGTATTTCTCCACACATCCTCCCCGTTAAGACATCACTAGGTGCCTTTAAATTTTTGTATATCATGGGGTTTGTGTTATTGGGTTGTCAGTCACCGTCAAGTGTGTCTGGTGTCATTGGAGAATGTGCTTCTTGGTGACATTGGGAGAGGAAGTCAGCCACAACATTGACTCATCCAGGCCTAAATTCGATATCAAAGTGAAAGGGTTATAAGGCTAGTGCCCATCAAGTGATCCCAGCATTATCTGTCTGGGTGGTTTTTAGCCACTTCCGAGGTGCATGATCAGTGACTAATATAAACTTTCTTCCTATGAGATAGTAGCGAAAATTTTCCACCCCCCACTTGATTGCGAGACATTCCCTCTTGATTGTGGTGTACCTTTGTTCTTGCGGTTGGAGTTTCCTGCTAGCATAGGCGATAGGGCGTTCTACACCATCTGTCTCTTGTGTCAACATGGCCCCCACAGCTTGGTTGGATGCATCGATCTGTAGGATAAAAGGACGCCTAAAGTCAGAAGTGTGTAGTACCACCTCATTACATAAGGCCTGTTGTATTTTGTGAAAAGCTTTCCAATGTTCCTCGTCCCACTTTAAGGGTTCATTGCCCCGTCCCTTCAATAAGTCGGTCAATGGTGCTGTTACTTTTGTGAAATATTGGCTAAACCGACGATAATAACTAGCCAATCCCAGGAAGTCCCTCAGTTGTTTTCGTGTTTGGGCTGGCGGGTAGTCAGGATAGCCTCTATCTTGTCCGTCAAAGGACGAATACAGCTTTGGCCTACCAGGAACCCAAGATATTTCATTTTGGCTTCCCCTAGGGCACATTTTCCTGGGTTGGCTGTAAGGCCAGTTGACCGTAGTTCTTGTAGTATTGCTCTCAGGGCATTTAAGTGGTCTCCCCAATCATTGGTATAGATAATGATATCATCTATATAGGCTGCAGCGTAGCATTGGTGTGGGGCTAAGACCCAGTCAATTAGCCTTTGGAAGGTTGCCACAGCTCTGTGAATCCTGAAAGGCATATGTTTGAATTCATATAAACCCCAAGGGGGGCCAAAAGCCATTTTCGCTTGGTCTCCTTTCCTCACAGGGATTTGCTAGTACCCTTTGGTCAAATCTAAAGTGGTAATGAATTTCACCCTTCTGATCCTCTGTAACAACTAGCTTATTTGGAAAACTCATTGAATTTCAAAATCACGTTCAGTTTTCTGAAATCTATGCATAATCGCAGCGTACCATCTTGCTTGGGCACCACTACCAGCGGGCTCCACCAAGGGCTCTGTTATTACTCCTTGGGCCAGCATCTTATGTCTTGATCAGTTCATACAGATGATAGGGTATCCTCCACTTCCCTCTCACCACTTGTCCGGGGTGATAATGCGGTGGCTTATACCTTGGGCACAACCTGGACTCTCATTAAACACATTGCTAAACTCTTTTATTAGGAGTTTTAGTTGTTCCTTTTGAGTCTCTTTAAGTTGGGCCCCCAAGTTTACTTCTTTGTTAGGGTTCTGTACCTTCATTGACTCTGCTCTACTGTCGGGTTGTTCTTCCAGGGAGGTTGCCAATAGGCCCTCCAGTTCATTCCACGGCTTCAGTAGGTTAACATGGAAGATCTGTTTTTCTTTCTTGAGTCACGGGCAGAGTACCTCATAATCAACTGGACCCACTCGCCTACGTATTTCAAATGACCAACATGTCAAGAACTTACTTGTGGCACTAGGGAGCATAACTAACACCTTTTTCCGTTCGCATAATTCTTGTTCTTGTGTTCCTTTGTCATAACTAGTCTTTTGCTTTTCTTGGGCTTGCCTAAGCTGGTCATGAGCTACTTCTCCCGCTCACTGCAACCATCTTCTCAATTCCCTGACACATTTGGTTGGTTTGACCCCTTGGGGTCCTCCTTTTTCCTGACCCTCTCATACCACGTCCAACAAACTTTGTGGTTGATGGCCATAAGCCAATTCAAATGGGGAGAATCCTAGGGAAGATTAGGGGGCCTCTCTCACCATGAACAACAATGGAGGTATTAACAAGTCCTATTTCCTGGGTTCCTCTTGGGCACACCTTCTCAGCATGTCTTTCAGCGTCCTGTTAAACCTCTCTACCAACCCATTAGTTTGAGGGTGATACACAGCAGTCTGTAAGTGCCTTATATTTAATACTTGACATAAACGGTGCATCACATGGGACATAAAATTCGTCCACTGATCTGTAATAATCTCTCTGGGTGTTCCGAGCCTCAATATCCACTTGAGGAGTTCCTCTGTGACTTGAGATCCTGTGACCGTGCGTAGAGGTATCGCTTCTGGGAACCTGGTTGCATAGTCAATCAGGACCAGTATAAATTGATGTCCCACTGAACTCTTTGGTAAAGGCCCAGTTATATCTAAGGCTATCCCAGCTCTCCTGGCTTGATTGATTTCTCCCCACCGGCGTCGTCCCATGCTGGTATTTCTCCACAAGTACATTTCAAGGGTCTCTGTAATTCTATCAATGTGCTGCTTGTGTTACCTGTGTTTCTATATGGAGCTGTATCTCTGCCTTCTGCAAGTCCCAACCCCCAGTGAAGCTACCTTGCAGGACTCAGTTTCAATGGGGCTGGGTTTCTCCAGCCACCAAATCAGTCACACATACACACATACACATACATGCACGTGCGTGCACGACTTATATGACATGCCTGACCTGGCCGGGGTGATCATCATGTACAGGCTGACACCCTCATATGCCAGGGATCAGTTCATTATGGTAACACTACTATGCAGTCAGACACAAGCACGCAGGTGAAAAAAATACCTCTGAATCAGGCTGGGTGCCCAGCTGACACCCTCATGGGCCAGCATTCAGTTCATTAGGACATGTCTGAGCCAAACTGAGTCAATCAGCCTATACAGGCTGATCTCTTTATGTGTCTCAAACTCAACACATCCCAAAATGTTGCCCTAACTGTCCTAGTAGTGATAGCCTCTTGATGAGATGACCAATGTTCCCTCTAAGGAGTAGCAGTCCGTGAGCGTGCCACCTTGGTCTGTGAGCGCGCTGCCTTGGTCCAGTGTAGGACATTTACCGAAGGGGGTTGAGGGCTGGGAGCTGGGGGCCAGAGACTGGGGCCAGAGGCCGGAGCTGGGGGCTGGAGGCCGGGGGCTGGAGCTGGGGGCTGGCGCAGGTTCCACTGGCTCTGGGGAAGTGCTCCACTCCCCGGCATCAGGGCCGGGGAGTGAAGCACTTCCCCGGAGCTCGTGGAGCCTGCGCCAGTCCCTGCCCCAGCCTCCATCCCTTCCTTGGTTCACCTCAGGGAGGAGCCACTGCCTGCCCCAGTAAAGCTCCACCAGCTCTGGGACACTGCTCCGCTCCCTGGCCCTGTCGCCATGTGCCTCCTCACTCCCCGAGGCTATCTGGGGGAGCGCAGCAGTGTCCCAGAGCTGGCGGAGCCTCACTGAGGTGAGGCAAGGCAGCGGCTCCTCCCCAAGGTGACGCAAGCCAGGAATGGAGGCTGGGACGGGGGGCTGGCGTGGGCTTCGCCGGCTTCGGGGAAGTGCTCCACTCCCCTGATGTTGGGGAGTGGAGCACTTCCCTGGAGCCAGCGGAGCCCATGCTAGGCTCCCACCCCCACCTTACCTAGGAGCTGACCTTCAGCTCCTCTCATGGTCTTGAAAAGGCTGTGTGTGGCCACACTTTTACTTGTTTGCGACTGCATATGTGTGCACCTTAGAGGGAAACTTGGAGATGACCCCACCATATTTTAGGGCTTTACAGGGATCTTTGACATAGGTAAAAGAACCGTTGCTGCAGAAAAAGTGGGGAAGGGAAAGTAGAGAAGGAAAAATACACCTGGTTTCCACCAGTTTGACTATAAAAGTTATTTATTGCTAAGTGTATGAAATTTATGATGGTATTAGTAGTAATAGCCATGCAAGGAAAAACAAACAGGCTGGGAAATTCCCTTCTCGTCAGTGCAGAGGCAGAAAAGGATCTTGGAGTCATTATTGATGCCAAAATGAACATGGGCCGACAGTGTGGGGATGCGGTCAGGAAGGCCAAACGTACCTTGTCATGCATCCACTGATGCATCTCAAGCAGGTCCAAGGAGGTAACTCTCCCCGTCAATGTAACACTGGTCAAGCCACAGTTGGAGTACTGCGTCCTGTTCTGGGTGCCGCACTTCAGGAGGGATGTGGACAACATGGAGAGGGGCCAGAGGAGGGAC